TAGGCCACCTGACAAATATTGAAGGCCCTAAGATTCGCTGGGTCGACCGAGCCATTGTCCGGCAACGGGTCGCCGAAGGGTCGCCCGGTCGCGAAGGTTGGTCTGTAGGGATAGCCTGCTGCTCAGGAGTGATGAGAAGAGATCAAATCTGCAATAAAGTCACAGACATAGACCCAATATAAAGACAGCAAATAGACAGCAAAGACATATAAAGACAGCAAATAAAATGATTTCCTCATTTTGAATGCTTTCTGACACCATACTTTATAAGGCATATGCCAAAAGAATAAGGACGTAGACCATGAACCATATGGAAAGATAACATCAGAGAAACAGTATGGTATGTCTACGGTTGAGGCAGCCTGAAAAACAAGAACCAGAAACTTATATCTCCTTCGATACATGAAGCAGTAAAACAGGAAGTGAAGAACTGGAAACAGATGACAAATCTAAGATATGAATGGCTTTTGTTGATATCTGTAACAATGAACCCAAGCGGCTAGAATGCTCAAGAAAAAGGCAATATATATTGAGCCACATCTAAGACCATAGTACATTCATTCTGACTATTTGTTATCCTGGGGGTTAGTAGCAAGATCTTCTGCAGCCCAAAGAATCTAGTCTGCCCATACAATCATCACTTCCTCTTGTGTTTGTTTTTAAATGAATGTGCGGTTGGCACGTTGTGCTTTTACTTGGCTCTGATATCTGTCCCTCTCTCAGCTCAACATATTCCATTTCAGAAGGATCCCTAATTAGTCACCTTGTGCCACCTGCTTACCAGGGGATCAGTGAGTCTACTGTTAGTCTCAAAATGGGGTGAGGAGGGGGCCCCCCAGAAACCATTCGGGTAAAAAATGCTTGAAATTGGCTTTCTCTTAATAAAAAGCAGCTTCTATCAGATACATATGAAGAAGTTACAGTTACAAACCAATCAGAACTCACTTAGACATTACTGAAGCATAATTCAGGTTCTTCTTTTATTTTTTTTCTTCCATCCAAAAAAAAAAGTCACAACTCGGTTTGATTTTACTGAAGCAATAACCTCATTTCTTCTTTTTCACCTTCTTAAATTTAAAAAATGAGTCACATTTTGCTTAAATACTACTGAAGTATCAATTCAATTGTTCCTTTTTATCTGAGGTCTTTCATCTTTCTTTTAAAAAATAGTTGAACATTCCTTAGATACCACTGAAGTATCACTTTAGGCCTTTTCAAAGGCTTCCAATCAATTATACAAATGCTGTTTGTAGACAAATGAAGCATGGATAAAATGGCCAGCTGTCCCGCATCACCTCTTGACTTGCATTGTAGCTTATGATACACCGTTACAATTAAATTGCTATCAATTATGTAGCTTATGATACACTGTTAAAATTAAACAGCTATTAATTAATTTTGAGGAAATACTGCAATTAATTAACCCTGACAATAAAAATCAACAAAAACATAAAATGCTGAAGCGCTTGAAATTATTATCTGAATAAGATGAAACTTTTAAAGATGATGTTCAAAATGACAAAAGAGAATTCAGCAATCCAATTTTTAAATCTCCAAAAAATAAGCAGTTCAGGACCCTTTTTTTATAATAGTAGTACAGTCGAGTCTGGATAAGTAGAAGTCACAGGGACCTAAAAAAAAAATGCTTCCACTTATCAGGATTTCTACTTATCTAGACAGCACACAAACATTAGAGAAAATTGCCGGGACTAAGCTGGTCACGTCGACTTGTCCGAAATTCGACCTCAGTGAACTCGACAACATCAGGTACATGGTGACAGAACCCCAATTTTATAGACCAACCAGCCCTTGATCAGTAATGTTTTGCAGTCAACATCATATTAGCCGTCTTTACTTTCCAAGACATTTCCTGACATCCATTTCATGTCAGTCTGAGCTGTCAGCCAAGGTCAATTATAGGAACAATCTGTATTGATGCAGTTTGGAACCCAGAACTTTTGAGTGGCAAGGAAAGTGTCTAGGCTCTGCGATACTGTGTGTCCCATAAACGTAGCTAGTTATCAATTGGTCACTTGACAATGAACTCAAAAACAGCAGTGTGAACACTGGAAGAGCATTTTTGTTTTAACAATCACTGTCTAGTCTTAAAGCCACTTACCGTGTTCATGCTTTTGTTAGTTTTTTATTGGTCATCTGGTGCTGAACTAAAAACAAGTTTGAACATTGAAAGATTATTTTTTTTTAAACAACTGTCATCTAGACTCAAAGTCACTTACTGTGTTTGTGCTTTTTCTTCTTTTTGGTTTCTTCACTGGAGTCTTTTTTCTCTCCATTTTCTGTTGAGTCTTCCGGTTTATCTTCTTCTGCACTTTCAGGAGCTTTCGTCTCACTATCATCTGCACTCTTCTCATCTCCTTCCTCCTACAAATAAACAGTATTTAAATAAGCCACCCAATAGGAATTACTGGTTGTCAGGAAATTAAAACTACTTGACATAGCTTCAAAATGTGCATGCTTGACATATTTACATAGCATTGTTTGCACGTAACTGCCATTATAATTCTGTTGTGCCATTATACATCACATAGGACTCATAGATTAATTTTCCACTTAATTCTATCCCGTACAATCAAATTAATATAAAGGCCAGTACCTCTGGCCTCTCTCAACAAAGTTCGTCTTAAGGGGTTTCTTGGCTGTCCTCGTCTCCTCAAATCATTTGTTTCTTATTTCAGTGCCTGTTTGCTGTTCCTCTGTTCACTTTTTCTCAGGTGTACCCAGACACTACTCTTATTTCTTCCCCTTTCTTGAATCCATCCAATTTAATGTTCAACAATTTTCCTCAGGCATCTGTTTTCAAATGCATTTAACTTTCATTCCATGGCTTTACTGGTTCTCCAACTTTCACGACATTCTTCCTTCTCACACTAACCGACTGTATACTCCAGTAAAAAGTGCCCAAAAAAAGGGCCTTAGAACCCACAGAGATTGCAATATTTAATTATGTAAATTATTAGCTCCATAAATCATAATGAATCAGGAGACACAGGCAAAATATGGTCCCGATAACACTACACAGGCTTTGTGACATAGAGAGGAGATCATAATAATCACAATTTGTTACTCTTTACTGATCGACTGTACCCTTTCAGTAGCATGCTGCTCACCATGCACTTGGCAGCTTCAACCGACATCCTAGCCTAGACTGAACTTCTTGTGGCCTATCTGGTTATCATACGGACATTAAATTACATTTGATGCCACCTTCAAAATAAAGGTTGGCTGCAGTGCAACTACGGCTGTCTTTAGGAATCTCTTCCACTGTGCAACTCTTGTACGACCATAGAAATATGAAGAAAACATCTGGAAAAAAATATGTATGCTGCAGAAACTGACTTTGGTATGCAAGAAGCATAAAAATACTGACTTCTAAACCCCCATTTAAACCACTGTCTTGGAGTATTATGCCTTGTGGCATATATACTTGTTTTCTTGCTCTTACTTATGAAATGTAACTATTAAAGTATTGAGCACAAACACCTAGTTACCAGCTTACTCTTACTTTTGACATACAATCAACTGTTAAATTAAAGTGTGTGCATATCCTAGTCAGTATCTTGCTCCCCCTATCAAATAGAAACTTAGAGACAGGTTGCACATACAGAGTCACAATGTCTGATATTATTTCTGAAATGCAATCATAATTATTATAGTATCATGTAGATAAACCTAGTCACTGTGTTAATACTAAAATACAATCTAAGCAGTTAAAGAAGCTAGACTATACCACCTACCTTTTTAGATTTGGGCTTTGTCTTAGGTGGTGGTTCTCCTCCAGGAAGTTTATAAAAACCTGCCATACCTATTCCTTTCACCTGAACAAAACAAAGTTATCAGGGTTAAAACAGTTTTCAGGTCTCATTATTTAAAAAAAACTTGCAGTATAGAAATAAATAATCAGCTGCCTCAGCCACATTCTGAACCTAATATTCAGCTTCTGCAGCATTCATGAAACATTTACCACTACAACTAAGGTGGGCTTTTAGCAGATCACAGTGGACAAGAAATTCATAACTGGAAACTCAGAACTTTGCCCATGTGGACAGGCATGACAGAATAGTAAACATACACTGCAGATATGCTCTCTACATTCAGCAAGGAGACCCTAGGTCTGGCCAGTTAGCATTCTAGTAGAAACCCAGCTGTGTGGATCAGTAGAGAACAAGCGTATACCCTTCATTGAGATATATGACCTGACCTTCTCAACAAACAAACAAAAATCAGTTAGACCACTTCTCACATGATGAAACAAAAACTGCTGGGAATGCTCTGCAGAACTGCCCTCTGCACAGCCAGTGGGGAAAGACTTATGGTCTCATTAACTCAAAACATTAATAAATGTACTAAACTAAAACACAACAAACTAAAGCCCAGAAAAGAAGTTAAGTTCAGACAAAGAACTCTTCTAGCCATGATAACTAACAATACAATAATAATGATGGCCCTGAAATACTTTCAGTCATCAGGAGATTTTGTAAGAACACTTTGCAAGCTTTTTCCCTCTTCAGTAATCTCTCTTCCTAGCCCCCTCCCTCTATCACACATCCCTCTCCACTAAATCAAAAATAAAGACATAAATACACGTTTCCTAGATCGACCCACCCGAAAATTGGCACCAGATAAATGTCCCGGAAAGGAAAGGAAAAAAGACAACCAGTATGACAGTAATCGTATCACCCTGAGACTGCTGATGGGTCTGTATAAATATGAGTCTAGCACCATATGTCCGAATGTGTGGTGTTAAATGTGTTTATTTTGTTTAACTCTTTCAGTCCTAGGGGGTTTAGCATCGGAGGCCCGAAGAATAGTAAACAGAAATGTCAAACTGGCACATCTTGCGTTCACTGAGCTTTAAGGTAGCAAACTATGAATCTATAATGTGTTCCTTTGGATTGAAAGTGTTAACATAGGAATGGGTAAACTGAAGTGCGGAAAATATATTTTCCTGTTTCTTTGAAATCAGTGCAGATCTAGTCATTCACAGAGCTAGCCATTCACAGAGCTAGTCATTCACAAAGAAAACTTCCTTGTCGGGGTTCTGGGTACCCATTTGAGGGGAAAACAGAACAAACCCACTGCCCCCTTATCCTCCGAACGAGCATGCCATAAAAGGTGACTAATCAGAGGTTTGCTGACATCATATGTGCTGGGCCGAAAAGTGTAGGCATCACAGCTAAGCTGAAAACCACAACACGGAAATGGACTTTTCCTAGGACGAATGCAGAAGTGAAAAGAAAACATAATAAGGAGCTAACACCAGATACCCATTACATTTCAAGGCATTTACAGGCTGTAAACTCTGGAAGAAAGTCCTGGATAAAGAGTCCAGGAGTGGACGAACAACCAGAACTTTACAGCCAGTGAATGCTAAGAAAAAGTACCGAATGCCTTCAGAACCACCAAAATCAAATTAGTAACAAAGGGGAGGAATATAATATGAAAATAAACACTACAAAGACAGAGACAATGGTGATAGGAAGACAGAGAGACAATTTATAAATAAAATTAAAAAACAACACCTTAAGACAAACAGAGGAACTTAAGCATTTGGGAGCAATTTTCACATCCGATGGAAAACTGGACAGAGAAATTAGCTTGAGATGTGCAAAAGCTAATCAAGTAATGGGGCAGCTATCTTCCCTGTTGACACACAAGCAGATACCCCAGATATTTTTTGGCCAACACTATGCCATCAATGCCGAACGTGGACACTTATATCCTCCAATGAACATAAAATTGTAACAACAGAGACGAAATGCCTTAGAAGAGCTGCAGGAGTTTCAAGGAAAGAAAGAATACGAAATCAGATGATTGCAAGGAATAAAGCCAGTCTTACAGGTCATCAAAGAACAACAGTGATTTGGACACCTTCTTCTTCTTCTTTCATTCGCCTGAAATAAGTTGTCTATATCAGCAATTTTGTCTCTTGTATAAATTTCACTACTGTTGTTAATTCATTCAGTGGCCCATAGTTTACATTCCATTGTTGTTCTTTCTGGCCAAAAGAATGTGTCAAATTTGGTGCAGTCCTGGAGTACATGCTCTGCTGTCTGGGGCACCTTTCCACAGGCACACATGGTTGATACGCCTATCTTGAATTTTGTGTACATGTGGTTACGTGATCGGTTGTGCCCTGTTCTGAGGTTTGGACACCTAACAAGAATGCTCTGGTACTATCTGCCACAGCGAGCCACACTAAAAGTTACAACGGGTATAGAGCGAATGGAAGACCTCGGAAAAGATGGAGTAATGGCATTAAGAACAGCCTTACAGAAATGAAAATCAGTCTTAATAATGCTCTTGACAGAGCTCATCAACAAACGTTACATCCCCTCACCCCCCCCCCCCCCCCCCCCCCTGGTCATCAAAGAACAACAGTGATTTGGACACCTTCTTCTTCTTCTTTCATTCGCCTGAAATGGACACTATGATGAGGTACAAGGTGGAAGAGAAGAAGAAGCACGCTAAGAATAAGATAAAGCTGACTTGCTCCATATCTCATTCGAAACAATATTTGTCACTGAAAAAAAAAAGTTTTATAAGATTCTATTTCATAAAAATTGGCAGATTGTCAGTTTACTGGAGGTTAGTTGCGTATCCTTTACAGGACTTTGCAGAACCAACCCCAACAACCCCTGGCCGTTGCGTGGTTTTTCTTGGCAAATTTACGTCCAGTAGTTAGTCAGTTTACTTGAAAGTAAAAAAAAAAAAAGGACCCCATAGCAGATACTGCAGTGAGGGCATAAAGTGTTAGGCCATAACACATTCTAGGCCAGTGGAATTTCAGGGTGCTTCTGATTAACACATTTCGGTCAGAATGCATTCTTAATCTATAATTTAATGCCTGTGTTATAGCATTAATTAGATTTATAACTGTAGATATACAAACCGCTTAAGAAAAAGTTCCTTCGTTCTTTTTTTTTTGTTTTAAAAAGTTTTTAAAATATTTATAATTAAATTGAAAAAATTGACCAACGATTGAACTGAAAAAATAAACTAATGGATTATTACAGACACACTTGCACTCAATTTCAAAATTGCTTGATCCCCTTGAAACCTCCACCACAGCACAAACATTGAAAATGTTTATTAAAAATGTAAATGAGTGAAATTTTATTACAGCATACATAAACATGTATAATTACCAAATCAATCTGCCCATACTGCACACCCATCTCCAATGCTCTTTTGAGTAATTTTGGCCTCAGATCAATCTGGAGTGCAGGGTACTTGGTGCCTATATATTGCTTCAGGGCAAAGAATCTCACACCGCTCCACTTCAAGATAGTTAAGGCAGTAATTTTAGCAGCACAAATTATTGGTGAGAACGACTGAAAATGCTGGTCCATAAATAGTTTTTGTGATATGCACAAATGCTGCATATGTGGCAGTGACGTAAAAATGTGGTTCAATATGCTAATATTAGGTTTGTGAGACAAGATGAAACAATGGGGTCCAATGTTATTTTTTTGTGGGATAAGATGTAACAATGGAATCCAATGTTATCAGTGACTCAAAACTGTGGTTCAAAATGTGGCACGTGGGATAAAGATAAAAAATGGGGTACAGTATTTTATCAGTGATGTAAAAAAAACATTGTTTAATATGTTGTATATGTGGCAGTGATTTTTTAAATGTGGTTCAATATGTTACATTTATTTTATCAGTGCTGCCCATGCTCCTTCCTATTTGTATTAGTTCCTTACTTACAAGTATTTATATTCTTCTAATTTATAATAGAGGGAGGCACCGTGGCACTAGACTCTCATCAGCAGATCAAAAGGTCATAGGTTCAAATCCACATGAAGCCTGATTTTATCATACACGACCTTGGCTTCCAGGTCAACCCAGCCCCAAACAGGTACCAGGTAGAGTCCTGGGAAGTAAAGGCAGCTGGCCTGATTTGACTACATCATCTATCAAGGCCTGACTGGTCGACAAAAATATGAGTCTATTGGCCTAATGCACCACTGGCATGTAAAAGGGACCTTTACCTTTTTTTCTTACTGTAATACATAAAGACTCCACCAGACACACATACCACACTAACTGCCATTACACTTTGCCACTGAAAAATTTCTCCCAAAATAAAGGATACGGGATTTCCAAAATGGTTGATAGCCTCGTGAACAATTTCCTTCAGTTTGATGCCTGATCCTGTTTTCTTCTTCTCCTGGTTGAGCTTTCTCTCCTTAATGAGAGTCTTGTACACTGACGTTTCCTTGACTCCAAAGGATTTTCCAAACTTCTCCTTTACCATCTGAGAAAAGAAAACATGCAATTACTAGCAACATAAGGGTTTTCTGCACAAAACAATATAAGGGAGTCAATACACTGATTTCTTTTTCCATTAGAACATAAAAATGGGATCTGGGGTAATGAAGTGGCTAGGTGTTTACCAACTGGCCTCAAAGTTTTGGATTCAATTCCACACTGAAGTGGATTTTTATAACTGTCCTGGGTGCCCAGGTTGTCACAAAATGCAGTGTTGGCATTGCATTGCCTTTCCCTATGCCCTGGCCAATCCTAGATGCAATACATGCAAGAGACAGAAATAGGTGGGATATTCTTTTATTCTTCCCCTGTAAATTCCTGCACCTGAATAAAAGCCACTACACATTTACTGGCCAAAACGCCAACACTATAAAATCTGATTATTGTCGTTAGAATAAAATGTACAGAATGCCATGTGGCGCACTGGGCATATGATAACTCCTACTTTATGGACAAATCGGCACTCCTTGATGGGTGAAGCGGTCAACATCACGCTTGTCATCTCTATCTCCTAGGACTTTAGCTGGTACCAATTTTAGGCTGGTTCCACATGAGAGCCAAGGTCAGACTCGAATTCAGAAGGTGTGTAACTAGTTTTGAGAGAAAAAAATACAGAGAGAGAGAGAGAGAGAGAGAGAGAGAGAGAGAGAGAGAGAGAGAGGAGAGAGCCACTAACCCTTAACAAGCATGTCGCAAAAAGCCGTTAATGATGGGTTTGCTAAAATTATATATGCTGGACTGGAAAACACAGATATCACAGCCTAGCTGTAAATAAAACACACTGTGCCTAATGCACTTTTAGTAGAGTTGAGTTGATTCAAGAACCGATATCACAGCACCCAGGGCATTCCCATAAGCGCTCCATCCCCCTTCTCAGCAGCCAGTGAAGAGTATACTAATAGTGCAAGTAGCATTCTGATTAAATGTCTGTCTTGCCTTTAATCTGAGCCTTGAGCATCTGCCATAACCTCTCGTCACTCCCCGCTGCATCAACCTCACCACACTGTGGTGATCCATCTGCTCCTCCAAACTTCACACGCTCTTCCACAAGGCACTAACCACGCCTGCCTTATTATGCATCAGTATTCCACCAAGTTTTGCAGAGCCAGCTAGTCTGTCCGCCTGTTCACTTCCAAACACACAGGCGTATCCCGATGAAAAAATCCAGACAATACTCCGCACCCGTGTCCTCCACAGTGAAGCATGCCACTCTGCACGAAGCATACCTGTCCAGACCTTCCTCAGCCACTTTTAGTAGCAAATTAAAAAAAAACATTTAAACCTGACAAAACAATGAAATGTAAGTAGCTTTATGACTCACTCTGTTGAACTCTGGAACATCCAAGATGTCAGACCCATCAGCCTGGCATAGCTCTGTGTAATATTTGTAAAGATGTGGCAGATAGAGAGTCTCCTCTGTGCGTTTCTCTAAATTGTTGTCCAACCTGAAACATACCCAACATGACCATGGTAGTTTCAGGTAAACTAAACAACAAATAATTTGTTCACAACCTTTTCTATTGTAAATTCAAAAAATGAGGAAAACAGTAACAGTCAGTTGGACATCTTTTACAGCAGTGTTTCTCAACATTTTTACACATCTGGCTCAACGAAATGAGGGGGAGGGTGGGAACTGTTTCGCGGCCCACCTGGCATTTAACCAAACATAGAAACAAAAGTAGATGTTTTATTTGTTAAATCTGATGCCAAACAAATTACAATTTTCAGCTAATGTGACATCTGCTGCTGCTTAGAGAGATCAGAAAATCTGACACATGAGACTAGAACACTGTTTCTGATAGTTGGAGAGCTGCCCTAACACCCATTTAACTTCTGTTTGGTTTTTAATACTGACACATGCTGAGAAAGTCTTTCCCCACAAACAGAAAGTTGAACCAACTAACAGCATATTCATTCAAAGACTGCTTTTATGAAGATCCTTATAAACAGAGAAACAGTCATCAAAGTTTTCAGCTAATGTCTTTAACTGCTAACCTATGCTAACAACAAATTTCTTTCTGGTTAAAATCAGCAGAAACATAATTCTTCCCAAAGTGGAAACATTTCTATACCTTCCTCTTTTACGGGACTATTCCATATGGTCAACTTCTATTTGAACGCATCCATATGATTTCTTAGTGTAAAAATATAGGTCCATGTCACTGAAAGAGAAATGTTACGCTCATTAAGGAGACTAAGCCATACGACACCACACTCTCTTGGCAAAACATAGTGCAGAAGTCATTTAGCATAAACGAGTCCTAATTCTTTTTTGCAGCTCAGACTGGACTACAGGAGCGCTATATAAAGAGAGCCCCTGGTTGAGCAGACTTAGAGGGTAGAAGGTAGAGGCAGGTGGTCTAGAAAATAAGTAAATAAGCAAGGTCTGTAAAACTGATGCACACGCAAAACTCAGGTCCTGGAACAAGGCCAAATTCCAGAAATGGACAAACAACCAGGTTTTTCGCCAGGGTTTACAGCCACTGAATGCAAACAACAACATGGTTTGGCATATATTTTAGGCGGCCACCTGGACTTTACTAGTCAACCAGTGGGTCGCGACCCATGGATTGAAGAACACTGCTTTACAGGATGCTGCAAACCTACCCTGGCATTTGCTAATGGTTTTATTTGGCAATTTTATGTTCTGTAGTTTGCCATTGGTTTCTTAAAAGTTTGAAACTCATAACACTGCCAAAATCAATGCACATCTGTCTGCTGCCAAACCGCATTCAGCTGAATCAAAGCCAGGTGTGTCAGAATATTGAAATTGTTCATAACTTCTAAGCCACAGATATTGAGGCTCATAAAACAATTTATTACACAATATACTTCTTGGCAGGTTCTACTGTATCTCATCAGTGTAACAACAGACTACTAAAGGATTTTGTTTATTTCAGTTGAAAGAATTCACTTTTGTGCTCCATTATATGTGTAAACAAAAGGATCATGCAGTTATTCTCAAAATTCTGCAGTTAGGTGTACAGTGTAACAATAGACTATGTGATTATTTTTGTTTTTGGTCAAAAAGAATTTTTCTTTGTGCAGACGTGTAGCTTTGTGGCTTAGAGGTTAGCGAGCAAATTCAACAATCATCAGTGTTACAGAGAGACGGTTTAGAAAAAGATCTTTCTTGTGGCTTTTGGATAGTGGTACAAGAGTTACACCATGGAAAAGATTGGGCCTAGCTATTTAATATTCTCAGATACAGTAGTAAATGCATACATCCACTACAGCCAACAGCCTTTATGGGGATGACACAATTTGCATTTTAATATGGTGATGTAAATTCTGTAGTATGTATTTGACAAAATTCACATTAAATACTGCAGGCAATAAACAGCAATATATTGCTTATGTCAGCAGTAATTCAATAATTTGCTAGAGGAAACATGTCAATGGGTCAAGTTTTTAAACTGCTTTTAAAATAATCATGTTCAAACAGTTGTGCACAGAACTGTGCCATTTTAACAGACATTCATAAACTTGACCCTGTCACATTTCACAGAGAGAGCTGTTTTTCCTACATTTATAGGTTTTCTGGCACGACATATTTAAGCAGGGATCACTGTGCCTGTCCCCCGTGTGGGTTCCGGGGCCCCATTGTGGGGAAAACAAGAATAGACCCACTGCCTCCCCAAAAGCATGTCGTTAGTTAGTTAGTTAGTTATTCCTCTTGTGCCAAAGATGGCGCATAGGGCAGAGGTCATAGCTTTCCACGTCTGTCAGTTCTTTGCCACTTGATGTAGGTCTTGAGTGCGACTGAGACCTATGGTTGAGCTCTCCCTTGTGATGGTTCTACGGAGAGTTTCTTTTGGTCTTCCCTGTTTTCTTTTACCCTCTGGCGACCATACGAAGGCTTGGTGGGGAAGTCTCTGTATGTCCATTCTGAGTACGTGACCGATGTAATTCCAGCGACGCTTTCTAATAAAATCAGACACATATTTTTGTTTTGTTTCCTGTCTTATAGATGTATTGGACCTAAAGTCCGACCAGTGAACATTCAATAGCTTTCGGAGGCATCTATTCTCGAAAGCGACTAGTTTCTTATCGATTGATACTGATGATTTCCAACTCTCACAACCATAAGTTAGCACTGGGATCACACAGGAATTGAAGACCTTAAGTTTAAAGCATGTCGTAAGAGTCGACTAACTGGGGAGCTTCCTTTGAAGTCGGAGTGCATCTGCCGGAGAGGCAAGGAACTAACAGTCTGTATTCAAGAGAATGAGATCTGTAAAACTGATGCACATGCAACACTCAGGTTCTGGAGCAGGACTGCAGTTCAATAGTGGACGAGCAACCAGAACCTTCCGCCAGAGTTTACAGCTGTTGAACGCGAAGAAGAAGAAGAAGACTATGCCTGTATAACAGTTTTGGTGTAGGTTGTAACTACAAAGTGTGCAGCGGAGGGTACGATTATATTTCCTTTTTTTTTAATTGAGATACGAGCATCATTTAAGGTGGGAAATCTTACCGTCTGAACATCACCATGATGTCACTTTGCTCCATGTATCCATTTCAACAATAAAAAACAGTTTTCAGTCTAAGTGAAGGAAAGTAGTTCATTACGTTTGCATCCCTTGAGGGTTTCAAGGTCCCATTGTGGGGAAAACAAGACCCACTGCCTGGCCAAAAGCATGTCGTAGGATTAGACTAAATGGGAGCTTCCTTCGAAGTCATAAAACATCTGCCTGCAAGGCAAGAAACCAACCGTCTGCATGCAAATGAGTCAGATCTGTGAAACATATTTGCACGCAACACTCAGTTTCTGGAACAGGACTGGAGTCCAGAAGTAAACGAACAACCAGAACATTCCGGGAGAGTTTAAAGCCGGTGAACGTGAAGAAGGAACAGATTATTTTTGCATTTAGTGTTTACTTCCTCAATGTAAAAACAAAACTTTGTGAAGAAGTGACTGTACAAGAAATATATTTAAAAAAGTGTTAAATGACTTGACAACCGCAATGTTGCGGTGGCCATCATGCTTAGTTTTCTGCTTGGTAGTCGCTTCAACCACCTCAATATGTATAAAAAGTGACTAAGATTCAGAGAATAAGAATGGGGTTTTTATGGAGATATTTGGTCCTCCCCTCAGTATGAACCCCAACGTCCGATGGCTAATAGTACCAGTTCTATGTTGATTAACAAGTCTTCTGACGTGTCCGGTGTGCGTCTCGTTTTTTGCTGTGCCGATCTTAATTCCCAAGTCTGCCATTCTGGCGAGTGATGTGGATTCCCTGCCACCAAAGTCCTCTATCCTTCCCATTTCTCTGAGGGCATTGATAATATCAGCATGATCCATAGGCCGACCGTCGGTAGTGATAGCGGATCCAGCCAACCTGTCAGCTCTTTCATTTCCATCGACGCCTGCGTGTCCCGGAACAAAAATAAAGGTGACTCCTCGCACAGTGGACTTCTGAATTGATTCAAGCCATTGTCTTCGCACTGAACCTGCCTGAACCCTCCGGATCATACTCATTGAATCACTGAGTATACATATGCGGGTGTATTTTTGTGTTTCAAGCCAGGCAAACGCTTGCGTCACTGCCATCACCTCCATCGTCATGCTGCTGGTTGTCATGGAGAAGGCACCGTTGGCTTCTTTGACTGTTCTGCCCGCCGAGCATGCTGTAAATGCCCATGCGCTTCTTCTTTGGCGTATAAGGAAATAAAGAACCAGAAAGAATAAAATACACGAAGAAGTCACAAGTCCCGATTTAAAGATTATCAGACGCAAGAAAAAAGGAATGCAAAATATTCTACATCCACACAGAATGACAACGTCCAGTGCTACCCATCGAATGCTGAATTGCAAACTGATCCTACTAACAACAATTAATAGCAAAAGTGGAAACTAATAATGATGACTCTTAAATATGAATGCTACCAATGTCAGTTCCTTGCAAATTCACCAATCTGCCATACATTTATTTTTTCTTCACATGTTCCTGATGTTGGAAAGATGCATTACTGGTATACAGCCCTGTAGGATGTCATCAGTAATCAATATCTTTGCCACATAAACACTGATGGTTCATCAATAAGGGGTTACTTTCCACAATGAAGGTTGGTGGCAAAGAATCTCCAAAATATTGTGGTTCTTGTCCCGGCTGCAATCTTTCTTAGCTGTTCATCCATCCATTACTGTTCTGCTTGTATCACTGTCTACCTCTTGTTTGCTAGCATTCAAAAGATCTCCAACACATTTTATATCTTGTTCTGGTCATAATTTTTCTCAGACTGCTGTTAATCCATCTCTTATATTTCTACCACTTGTATCATTGTCTAGCTAGCCTTCAATTCTTCATTCCAAAATCTTTCTTTAAGAGATTTAGAAGTGTTTTATCTTTAAATGTGACAAAAATATTTCACCTGTCCTCTATTTTTTAAAGCCATGTTTTTTTCCCCTCACTTTGGAGTCTTTTAAGAACCCCTGCATTTGACTGCTTTTGTTTCCATGCATTTATTCTTCTATCTATTCACATTTCCAGGGACCCAGTTTCACTTTCTAATTCCCAGAACTAGAACCAATGTTTAATTTACTGACTAAATGATCCTGCCGACCCCCCCCCCCCCCTTCCCATTACGTGCCTAAAGAAATGCATACAAATAACTCAAATTGTCATCCCTGTGTGAGTTCCAGGATCCGATGTGGGAGGGAAAAAAAATAAACCTTTAGCTTCCCTAAAAAGTGTGTTGTAAAAAGCAAATAATTAGAAGTCTGCTGAAACAGGATGGGTGGGACTAAATATCACATCTAGATAGAAACCACAACACTACATGTCAACAACCCTTTAAAGATGATTGCAGAAGAAGATGAATTTAAATGTCTAAGGAAGTTTGAAATAAAACACGAGAAAACAACAAACTTGTTCATTTACCATTCTGAGAGTTTTAGCTCTGATGGAGGCGTGAAACGCTTCCGCTTCTCTGAGAGAACTTCTGCGTCCAGTCCTCGCAACAAATTGTGCTGTTGCGATAACTGAGCTGGTCGTTTCTTAGGCTTAGATGGTACTGAACTGACATTTTCAACAACGCTTCCACGGTCTTTGTCATCGTCACCAAGGACATCATCATTATCATCATCTGGTGTAGTAGCCACACCATCCTGGCTGGCTTTAATCCACTTCTTCTTAATAGCAGGCATTGTAAATAATCATACAATGTTCAAGTTTAACTGCAAAGTGAAGAGATAACAAAAACATCTGAAACAATAAAAACTTGGCTCACACAAAATTCAGGATAAAGGTATAGATTCAAGCAATTAAGCACATGAAGCATAAGTACAAAGTAAAAGACACTTTACACGCCATAAGCTCATCTTGCATATGGTCCTAGATACATATATTTATAGACCAATCAACCCTCAAAATTACCACAAATGGTATATCATCAGGATCCCAGATGCAGCCAAACAATTTGTTCACTAATTCAATTTAGGTTATTCTAACATTCTTTTTGAATACCATTTGAAAAAGCAACTTCCCCATGTTTTGGAGTTTATTTATATGGTTAATTACTTCTTCTACTGCTTTCTCACAGCTGATATTTAGCTCTATTTCTGCAGGCTTGACATATGGGGAGGAGCAGGATAAAGATATATTCACTATACATACATACATAATACACATTTTCAAAAACTGAAATTCATAGATCGTGGCACTGAATCAATCACCTATTTTCCTATTTACATTACACAGTGAGATCTACCATACAGCAGATGGATCATGACTGGTGTCATTGTATACTTAATACTGATGACGTTGTCTTGGTGGCAGCAGAAAAAAAAACAAATGATGTGCCAGTAGACAGTAAGAGTTTGAAAAATGGAAAGACAGAAGCCATGGTAATTTTAGGTAGAGATGTAAAATTAAAGTCAAGAGTTTAATTTAGGACAATTACAGAAATTAAAGAAGATGGAATCTTGGGCCATGAATGCCTCTAGTCCTAGACAAATGGGCCCAAGAACATAACTTCCGAAGAAATTTTAACTCAACCCGCGAACAATGCCTCTGCAAACAAACATGGCTTTGGCGCCAAGTTTTTTGGCTAGCGAACAGCATATGTTTACTCAGGTTTGCAAACACTGTAAACAATGTCTGTTGTGTTCTTTATAGTTTTATCTCTTCTTTTTGTTTGCATTAAATTAATCCTCATTATGGTTGCTTAGAAAGTAAAAAATGTTAGTCGTAGTGGTGTAAAGAAGTTTTAAGTGTATTAGAGTAGAAGCAAAGAAGGATTAATAACTAAACAAGAGAATGGTGCTCACAGTCTGGATCTCGCTAATCAGTAAGACACAACTAATATACAATCCGCAGTATCTTTAAAAACAAAGATGCTGTAAAGACAGCTGATGTGGCTAAAGAAGTGACTATATTTCCAAAACAAATGTCTCAAGTGTTAAAATAAAAAACAAAAATTATTGTTAAGTTTGGATTAATGAAAAGCAGCTTGGTTGAGATTGTGTTAGTGAGGCTCTAATATGCAAGAGTGGCGAAACTGCCGAACACAAGTATTGCTGGCATTAATTAATTTAAAGCAAGTAGAGGCTGGTTTAAGAAATTTCATCAACGAAATAGAATTCAGTGTTGTTAGGCATGGAGAGGAATCTAGTCTGGACAAGAGACACATAAAAAAAGCAGCAGATGCCTAAGTAGATACATTTTCAAACTTTTTCTGAAAATTACATACCACGTGCAGTTTTTAAATGCCATGAAAGGAACTTTGGTTGAGTAAAGGGGGGGGGGGGGGAATGCGTGTGCCCAGACAGACCTTCATAACCTAATAAGAAAAGTCACTGCATGGCACCAAACCAATGAAGAACAAACAGGCTTTCACTTTTACTGTGCCCTAATGCAAGTCGCTATTGTAAGATTGTTTCCTTCAGTTTACCATGCTTTTAATCGCAAAAAAAGTGCCAAAGGGTAAAATTGCAACAACAACAAATATTTTGGGCGGGACCAGCGATTAGATTATTTAATTTGCATTGATTTCAACAAGATTTTTTTTTTTTTTAGTTTAGTCACAGCATGAATCCAACTCAAGACTGTTGTAGTTAGGTACATGCTTAATCATGATAATCAGGCTATCAGTCGAAGTTCCAACTTCTTCACAAACGGGGCACACCATAATTGTTTCGTTTCTGGACTAGTGGAAGTTATCATGAGGTATGTAATAAAAGTCAAACAGACAGTAGTCATAACAAAATCCAACAGCCTGCACATGCATATCAAATCCAAAAGGGAGCTCACAGAGATGCCAATGCCAACAGAGTCTGTAAGCAGAATTGCAATTCATAGTTTATGAATTTATGACAGATGCACATGCATTTTAATTTTACTATTTACTGCATACGGCACAACACTTATTTTGTGACAACTAGCCAGCCACTCACCATTTTCTTAACCTAAAATACAGTTAACAATACATATCTGTAGGAGTACTAACATTTCTTATAGAATCGGAAGCTAGAATTCAAATAAAAGTGGTAAGAACGAAACAGGGGCACCAGTTCATCATAATAATAATAATACTGGATTATTCAAAATTAAAATGATTTAGTTTTAAATTTTAAACCTAGAAACTTCGAACAATCATTCAAAGATAGACTGATATTAAACAATATATTCCTTCCAATAAGGTAACGAAGGGAATAAACATGTCTGTCCAATTGCCTAAAAGAAAGTTTAAAACAGACATGGGAACTGAGAGAAGCAGAAGTAATGGAGAGGCCAGGGGCCCAATGGACGCTAGCGTCTGTCTAGCTAGCCGCCAGTCGTAATCCTGGCTCCGGCTCGTATGGATGCCCAACGTTTACCCTACTACATAATACTGCATATTTAATGTTGCACACATATATTTAAAATCAGATGTAAAACATTAAATGCACATTACCAAACTATGAATGTTCAAAGCAAACGTGTATGTTGATTTCAGCCGTATTTTTTTTTCGTTGACGCTTTACTTTGGCACCATTTTGTGTGCCAGACAATTGGTAATAATGATAGCAATACAGAAAAATCAAACGTTAATTCAGTTAAATTATTACGTAGTCCATTCAATTGATAACAATAAGTCTAAATGTGTAGTTTTCAAACTCTTTTAAATTAAACATAACTGCTGTGCTTGTTTTTGAAATGCTAATGCATATATTTTGCATTGAAAATCCAAAGCGGCATTTAAACAATGGACTACTGGAGCTCAAATCCTGATGACGTCAAACTAATCTGAGAATTTAAAACCTTTGAGGACACCTGGATTGTTAACAATGGGAGAAACGGCGTGGGTATGTGCCGGCTACAGTCGGTCGTTTGGCAGTTGTTATTATCTGATATTTATTTGTTTGCAGTTCTTAACGGCAAACATAAAGGACCGCTAATCACACATATAGCTATATTCCCTCAAAGTATTTACAAAAAATTGCTATCACTAGAAAAAACGCCTGGTGCAGTGGAATGCGAAGAACATCAGATAATTAGTTTAATGAGTCATGTCACTAAAATATTAATAAGTATAATGAGAAAAAATACAGTGCAAAATAAAACAAGAAATTGGGGGAGAGCGGTGTGGTTTTGATGAAGGAAAAGGCACAACACAACGCCATATTTATCTTGGGAACACTTTCAGAAAGAATGATTGGCATGAACAGACAGTCTTTGTGCTTTATTGGTTGCATTAAAGCATTTATTAAAGTGAAAAAAGAAATTATCAAAATTTTGGAAATCTTAACCACTGATGGTAGAGACCTAAGAATTGAAAGGAAAAAAAAACATATACTGGCAACAAAAAGTAGCCACAAGAATTGACAACCAAGCTGAAACTTTACAAAACATCAAACAAGACATTAGACAAAGAGACAGGGGTGTGTACCATCACCTGATTTATTCAATTTGTACAGTGAAATAATAATGCGATTTATACCAGGAGTAGCGGTTGGTTGGCATATTGTTAACAACCTGCGATGTGCTGACGATATAGGCTAGTGTTGATCGCTGAAAATGAAATAAAACTGCAAGAAATTATGGATATAATTGTAACGGAAAGTGAAAACACGAGTCTTAGTTTGAACAGCATTTGATAACAACTAGTCTTAATGTGTTACAACATGACTAATGACATTACAAAGAAAACCAACCCTTCAAAATGCAACATCAAAGTAAATGGGACAATTTCAAGCAAGCTGATATGTTTAAGTACCCTGATCAGATGAAGGGTGTATTAAGAAAGTTAAATGTAGAATAGAACAAGTAAAGGATGCATTTGACAAAGTGAAAAACATTTTATGCAATCTTTCTTTGTCAATTGAGAGGAGAAAGAGAATTATTAAAAGCTATATAAATCCTATACTGATGTGAATCATGGACAGTTAGTAAATTAGTGAAAACTTCTTTGGAAGCTGCTTAGGTATTTTAAGACGAATGATAAAAATACCATGGACAGATAAAATAAGTAATACAGACGTTTTGAAAGAAACTGACTCGCGAAGAGAACTGATGATTGCCTACATCGGAAAGAAACAATCTGCATTCTTTGGTCAAGTAGTGAAAATGCGAAAACTGATGTACATCGTGACGGTAAAAAAGTGGAACGGGAGGAGAGGCACAGAGAGAACAGAGCTGGACGGTTTGCCATTATGGCATGAAAGATCATCTGTGTCAGAGTTGACTAAAAGTACACGAGACAGAAGGTTGTGGATAGACATGACTACCAGCGCCACACGGCATTGACTTTAATAAGATTACCAGAAAAAACTTTAAATTAGGAATGCAACAATGGAAATTTAGAACGTCTTAAAATAAGAAATGCATTAAATCTCTAGTAAACTGATGGGCTTTCAGATCCGTTGTTTGCCATCGCACATTTTTTTTTTTTTTTTTTTTTTTTTTTTGTTATTTGTTTGCAAGTGTGTATGCCCCTAAGAGAAAGAGAGTGTGAACGGGTTTCTTTCTTGAAACGTTCAGTTCTAAACCTGTCTGCTATAATTTCTGGGGCCACTACTCCTATTCCCTTACGCTTCCCCCCTCCCCTTGTTTTCTCTACTCCAAACAACACGATCTAAGACAACAATGCTCGCACCAGTGACGATGAATGTCAGAATAAGACTAGAGAAAAGAAATAGCAAGACTATCCACACTATCCTGCCCCATG